CTTTTGGAGAACGAGCGTCTATCCATCACGCAACGAGACATGACGATAAACCAGTATTTTGCTAAGGTAAAGTCTCTTTGTCGTGAAATCTCTAATTTAGATTCTTCTGTTAGTATGTCGGATTCACAGATAAGGAGAATAATTATTCATGGATTGAGGCAAGAATATAGAAGTTTTATTGCTGCTGTACAAGGTTGGCCGACCCAACCTTCTCTCGTTGAGTTGGAAAATTTGCTAGCTGACCAAGAAGTGTTAGCTAAGCAAATGTTTCAAGTCTCATCCAAGAATGATGAAAAATTATTTTTTGTAAAGAATATCAAAGATCGACACAATAAAAATTTTCATTGGAGGAAAAGAAACGACGTAGAAAAAGATAAAGACGAGAGAAGTGCTCATTTAGGGGGAACACAAAAGAAGAAAATTTGAGCGATCAACCTCAAGAAAGTAGAAGATTTGAAGGGAAATATTATAACTGTGGAAAGAAAGGTCACATAGCAAGGAATTGTTGGTCGAAGAAGAAGCCAGCAGAAGAAAATGCAGTCACACCGGATGAGGCACATAAAAGTGAAGACGAGTGGGACCTTGAAGCACTGTCAGCAGTAATCGAAGAAGAAGAAGTTGGTGAAGAAGTCGATATGGCTTTAACGACAACGGTCTCTGAGCTTGTCGACTCAGATGATGAGTGGATAGATAACTCAGGAAGCTCAAGTGACAAAACAGCAGATACGAAAGAGTTTCCAAATTCGGTCGAGTATAGTGATGAACGTATGACAATTGATAACTTGATGTTTCCAATCTCCGATTTTGAGAGTGAATTTAATAATGAAGATAAAATTGAAGACGGGCAAATATGTCGTGGGCAAGTCAACGAGAATTGGATAAGAGTAGAAGACCAGTCAAGTGTGAAGAGCCCACAAGCCCATTTATCAATGAAAGTACGAGTACCGAGCTTAAAGCACACGAGGAAAATAATTACAGGCTCAAACTTATGTGAAGATCCGTTTCTTGACGTAAGGTGGCCGAGAACAACGAACGAGCATAAGGTTGTGTTGAGGGGGAGTGTAAAAAATATCACCACCAACTTTGGGAAGCTTCTGGATGAGTGGAGAAAGTTTACATATTAATTTGCCACCTAATACTAATTAAAGAATAAGATAATCTAGTCTAGAATCATCCTACGTAAGTATAAATATATGTGTAGAAAGAGAGTTGTGTGTGCTGAGGGATCAAAACAAAAGAAAAGAAATGAGTGAGGTGAATGTTTATAAAAATAAAAGAGTGAGTGAGATTGTGTCACATGTGTGAGCTGTGAGGACATGTCTACATAAAAAAAAATATTAAGTGTGAGTGGGTGTGTTAATAAAATAAAGTGTTTTGGTTGTATTGTATTTTAGGCTTAGTGTGTGTTCGTGTAATTATTTTGTTAATCAGCCAATCTTTTTATTCTCCAATTCGGATTTGAATAGAAAAACGCCCATGTTGTGGCAATTCCACCTAGAAGGTAATCTAATAAAGTAATTACGTTAGTATCCACGTGTTGTGTGTGTACCCAACTTAACAACAATCTCCCACAAATCTTGGCCTTGCAAATACGACTCCATGTATGTCGACCACGTGTTGTAATTCTAACTATTTAGCTTCTTGATACCTCCGACCACTTGAAGGTCTGCCATCATGGCTCCACTCGATCAACTCGCCACACACTCTGCAGTACTAAACTGCACACGAACTTCGCAGTACGAAACTGCAAAACTACAACCAAGAAGCCTAACACAATAACTCGTACCTCAACCAACGCCAGACTTAACTCGCCTGGCTCTGATACCAATTGTTAAGTTGGGTACACACACAACACGTGGATACTAACGTAATTACTTTATTAGATTAACAAAATAATTACACGAACACACACTAAGGCTAAAATACAATACAACCAAAACACTTTATTTTATTAACACACCCACTCACACTTAATATTTATTTTTTTTATGTAGACATGTCCTCATAGCTCACACATGTGACACAATCTCACTCACTCTTTTATTTTTATAAACATTCAGCTCACTCATTTCTTTTCTTTTGTTTTGATCCCTCAGCACACACAACTCTCTTTCTACACATATATTTATACTTACGTAGGATGATTCTAGACTAGATTATCTTATTCTTTAATTAGTATTAGGTGGCAAATTAATATGTAAACTTTCTCCACTCATCCATAAGCTTTCCAAAGTTGGTGGTGATTTTTTTACATAGTTCCTCAAGAGACTCGGGAAAGAAGACTGCAGACGGCAGGTCATAAGCCGATCTGCGCAGGTCGTTATACTCCCAAGGATTTGACAGAAATTTCAGTTGACTATTTGAAAGAAGTTAAGTTTGAACACTTTTATGTTTAGGGCGGGTATCATCGGGATCCATTTGTCGAGAAGGGAGCTGACCCATGGTGGGTCGGGGCTCGATAAGTAGAGTTGGAGTTTGTGTATGGAGAGGTTCTTGTCAAAGTATCCTTGTAGGGTTCGGTCGACGATGCAGACAACATGTTGTCGTGTGTTGTTGAACCATTTTTCGGAAAACTTAAGGTTGGGGCGGGTTAATCCTATGCGGCGCCATTGTTTGGAGAGTAGACATGTTCTCACAGCTTCTTTCTGGGAGAGGGAACATAGTATGTGGTGAAGTACAGTTATTGACAATTGGGATATTCTATCTCCCATGGCTGTGGACAGAGTCTCCTATGTTTTTGCCGCCTGCTTAAGCTCTTCCATGGCTATGGATGATCGCCGGAACCTGATGCTCGCCGGACAAAGTCGCCGGCTGAGAAAAGCTTGTTGTGGACTCACGGCAGGGGGTTGACGATTCTCTCTCTTCTTCTTCTTTTTTTTTTATATTTATTTACGTTAAGAGGTTTGGAGGAGATTCACGCAATTCTGGGGTTCTGAAAATTGGTGATGGATATAAATATATATATATATA